AACACTGCTTTGGTTAATTGACAGGCATGCAGAATCCAGGCTAATAACATGGCACAAAAGCCTGAGGTGCTTTACTTAACCTCCTGTGCCCTAGTGACTGCAAGTGTTTAGCTTAGCTAAAGATGGATTTTTTTTTTTAAATTTTTTTTTTTTTGCTTTTACTAAGGGGTCGTCTTACTATTAATTTCCTCAGGTTTGTCCTGTTTGTGGAAAGGAGCTGTTAGTTATGGGTCAGCTTTAAGCTTTGGCTTTAAAGAGTCTTACACTGACAAAATGTTTCTGTTGTGAATACCCAGCACCAGTATTCACTAGGGTACTGGTGGTTTGGATTAGATTCATACTTTCTTTTCTGTGTCACTGCCTCTGTTCACAGAGGTGCATTTTTGCAGACTGTGTCACCTAGGAGCAGGATATGCCTGGGCCCTGCCAGTTCTGCTCTGCCTGAGGAGGAATGAGTGGGCAGCACTGTCCTGGTTACAGCTCTGGCTCTTTCAGTGTCTGCCTCTCCAGTGGTGTAGGGGAATTATGGGGTGCATGTATGGATATGTGGGTGGGCAGTCAGTTCCCAAAGCATACCAGGCTGCTGGAATGGGGGGATGTGGGACTGCTGGTGACTGGCAGTGCAGCCTGAAAGCATGGCTGGGGAGGGCTCTTCCCTGCTGTTGCTGTTTATGGACCTCCTTGCTGTCCATTCCACCTGCATTTCTGCAGGTGGCCAACAGGAATCTAAAGAAGTTCAACAAAGGGAAATGCGGAGTTCTGCACCTGGAGAGAGGCAACTCCATGCACCAGTAGGCCAGAAAAGGATCTGGGCCAGCAATGTGCCCTCATGACAAAGGCCAGTAGCATCTTGGGCTGCATTAGGAGGGGTGTTGTCGGCAGGTTGAGGGAGGTGATTGTTCCCTTCTACTCAGCACCATTGAGAGGACACCTGGAGTGCTGTGTCCAGTTCTGGGTTCCCCAGCACAATAAAAATGTGGACGTGCTGGAACGAGTCCAGAGAAGAGCCATGAAGATGATTAAGGGATTGCAGCATCTGACATGTCAGGAGAGGCTGAGAGTGCTGGACTGTTCAGCCTGGAGCAGAGAAGGCAGAGGGGGATCTTGTCAGTGTGTATACATACCTAATGGAAGGGAGTAAAGAAGGTGGAGCCAGACCCTTCTCAGTGAAAGGCAAGAGGCAATGGGCACAAACTGAAAAACAGGAAATTCCATTTAAACATAAAAAAAAGCTTTTTTTTTTTTTTTTTTCCCTCCTGTGAGGGTGGTCAAATACTGGAACAGGCTGCCCAGAGAGGTTGTGGAGTCTCCATCCTTGGAGATGCTTGGAACCTGAATGGAAACGGTCCTCAGCAACTTGCTCCAGCAGACCCTGCTCTGAGCAGAGGGGTTGAACTAGCTGATCTCCAGAGGCCCCTTCCAACCTCCGCAATTCTCCTGTGATGCTGTGACAGGAAAAATCAGCCAGGAAAAATAGTCTATGAGGGAGGTTGTGTGTGGTGGGTTTTTTTTGGAGGGGGGGAGTTTGGTGTTTTTAAATTAGGTTCATGGTAAACCAGAAATAATACGAAACACCACACCTTTGCTTGTCTGGCATGTAAATTCCAATAATGGATACTTTCTAGCCCTGGCAGTTTGTTCGTCTGTTTAGATTCACATACATCTAGAAATCAAAATGCAATCTGTAGCCATGTGCACATCACCTCTGAAGCTGGCAGTGGCGATGCAGTAGAGGCTGTGTTGTAATGCTTACCTTAAGGACCAAGAAAGAGGAAGGTATCATAAAAAGCAATTAGCAAAATGGTATAAGATAAATAAGCATGGTATGTAAATACCTTTTTTTAAGTAGATGCAGTTTCCAGGAGAAGGAAGGTAGAAGTTAGAAATGGATCTTCTTCAGAGCTGAGCTCCATTACATTAGGTTACCAAGTAACTTGCACTGTACCTTACCTTGGAATTGGTCCTGTAACATCCCATAGCACATGCCCCCTTGCCGTGATCTGATTTCATTCCAAGTTTTTCAGATGCAGCTCTAAGATAATCGATGGCTTGCTATCATTATTGCAAAGCTTCCACTATATTAGCGCATAGCTTTGTTCCTTTTCTACTCATCAGAGTCCTTGAGGTGAAGTGCCTTTTTGGCTGGCAAGGGAGAGAGAAACTATTGAAGAAGTCTACGTTCTCTGAGTTGGAGAGTTCTCGCCTAAAGCAAATCACCATCGTTTTGTGAAAAGAGGAAGAGAACGAGACCCACCTCATGAATTTGTGCACCCTTAACTCTGTGAAAGACAGGTCTAGATCCAGAGTTTCAGGATGGTATTTTCATTGTTGGTAGAACTTGACTTTTAATTCCTCATTCTCTCTTCTTGTGTACTTCCAGGTTACGGTACCAGGGATATTTTGGAGGTGTAACTGCTCTAACAAGAGATCAGTTTTCCAAGGTGAATGGATTCTCTAACAACTACTGGGGTTGGGGTGGAGAAGATGACGACCTTCGAATCAGGTAATAAATAAATAAAAGGCTAGAGGGAAATGGGTGTGAGAGGGGGAGGCATCAATTTAAAAAAACAAAAATATCGGTGTGACTTCACACCTGGCCTCCAAAGGTGGAACACTATGGGAGCCTTCAATTCAAAACAGTATTGCAGTGGGGATTTGGAGTGTGAGATGCAGTTCTGTGAATGGTTTCCTCTTTGAAAAGGTTAGGCATGCCTGAGACCTGGTCCTCCTCCTGACAGCATTGTTGGTTGGGTATGGGGTTTGTTGTGAGGTGTGTGTGTTTGTGTGCGGGTTTTTTTGGTGTGGTGGTTTTCTTTGTATTCTCACTTGGAAATTACTTATAACCGAAATAATAAGATTGAAGTCTGGAGTGTGATTTGCCGAAGAGACACAGATGTATTGAGTTCCAATACTTTGCAAGGGCATGGGAGTGTGTCGGTTTTGGTGGGATTGGGTTTTCTGCATTCATTGACTACCATGATTTACTCCAAGCAGGGCTTAGTTTGTATGTGGGTGGTGGTGATGATAGTTAAGATAGTGAGTAACTTGAATTTTAGAAAGACTGCATGTATATGCATATGCCCTTTGCTCTTGTTAAAACTAGTTCTGCAGACGTGCCTGTCAAAGTAGGAGAAACTTGTTAGTTTGAGAGGTTTAGTAGGACAAAGAAGTTGACAAAACTTTTATGTTGATCTTTTGCCCTTTGCCTAGGAGGAAACCTCTAATCCTGCGCTGCTGTTAGTGAAGGAAGGAAAAAAAAACAACAAAAAACCCCACAACCCCGCAAGCTCTGCTGGCAGAGCCTGTCAATTTGTAACTTGGGTATACTATGTCATTCTTCAAGTGTTTATCCTTTTCAATTGCTTAAATATGCAAACAAACATTTGGGGACATAAAATTCATGCCCCTGGTGATATTAAATAATTACACTGGTGAAATCAAGTGTGTTAAAGTTAGGAACTTCCAAATGAAAGTTTTTCTCTGTGTCAGTTCAGCAGACCAGTCAGCTGTATCTCAAGAAATCTAAAAGGTCTACTGCTGACATGGATTTCTGTCCCTTAATCATAACTTTTTTTCTCTCTCTACCCCTAGCTAGACACACCAACTTCTTCTGTGACCTCTTGGGAGCTGGCTTTTATAGTGGTAGGGGATGGCTTGGTACCATCTTATTCCCCAGGTTCCTGAGAAGTGTCACAGTTAAGGAGCAAACAAAGGTGACAGTGGTGTTCTTTCAAATGTTCCCGTGGGCAGCAGATCAGCAGGATTTACTGAGTTTACAATGTTTGCAAGTGGTTGGAGTCAAAAGCGATGCTTGCCTGTGCGTGGCACCTCGTAACTTTGCAGCTGTTGTGGTCTTGGTGTGGAAACCAAATTGTATGACCCAGAGTGCACACTGCAGCTGGACGTGGCTCATGCCTTTCCTCTTGGGTAGATCCTGGACTGGGCTGGTTACACAGTTTGCAGTGGGTAGGTAACGGGAAGCTTGCCGTCTCGGTGGGTGGCTGTACGGAGAGATCCTTGCAGCCTTCCTGTGCGAAGACAGCAGATGGCAGCATCCCCTTCAGTACCTTCCAAGAACTCGGGGCTGGAGTGCTCTTAGGTCCTACTGTTTTGCCTCTACGTTAAATGTGATGGTCTCTTTTGGGCCCCTTCCTAAGGTGCGCATCACAAAGAGACTTTTCAGATGATTTGTTATTTGTTTGATAACTTACTGCTACAAACAGTCATTGGAAAACTGTAGGGGCTCAGTTTCTTCAATTCTTGGTTTCTTATTGCTCTTTCAGCTGCTGCTGTGACTAGCAAAGACCTGGGCTATTCCTTAATTCCACTGTCATGAAGTTAACTTTTTCTGCTGACAGAGCAAAATTGTTGTGCTCCACAGATGTTTAAGGCCAAAAGCTCCAATCAAGTGCCTGATGTCAGACACTTAAATCCATGCATGGGGCTCAGCATTTCTGGCACTGTTCTCAGAAAGTTTTCTTCATGTCAACAAATAAAAATTTTGCAGCTGTCTGCCAACTATTAAAAAAGAAAAGAAGCTTTTTTTTAAGTGGAGAACTATCAGCTATAGGGGCTTTATTGCAGGAGTTGAGATGAACTTGTTGCAAAAAGGGTGGAATCTTGCTACAGACCTCCTAGGTTTAATACAGGGCAGTACAAACTAGACCAGAAAATACTGATTTAAATGTACTCTGTTGTATAAATGTGTGTTTAAAGCTCTACATGATCTCTACTGTAGTAGCTACCTGCTTCTGTTTAAAAGAAAGGGCTATCTGTCACCCTACTGGACCCGTTCTCCAGAAACACAACTCTGAGCCCCATTTCTCTGGCAAAAGGGGTCATGGAAGAGATGAAGATGAGTTTCTTACGATTCTCTGTGCCTGCTTCAATGGCATCTACAAGAGATGAAGTCTCCAAATGTTGGTGTTTGTTCTGGTGTGTGTTTGTGGTTTTTTTTTTTTCCTTAAGAGCTTGTTTATAGGTGATGTCTTGCTTACGGCACTATTGTTTCTTCCAGGGTTGAGATGCAGAAGATGAGAGTGGTGAGGCCGTCTCCTGATGTAGCCAGGTACACAATGATCTTCCACAGACGAGACCACGGTAATGAAGAGAATGGGGAGAGGTGAGTCAAGAACAGTGTTCCACCTTGCATTGTCTTGGTACGTGGCTAGGAGCCAGGCACCTGGGGGCAAAGTTCTTTGCTCTAAGCCAAACAGGCATTTTGTGGTGCCCAGAGGCTCTGGGGGTGAGTCCTGTGACACCACTGCTCACAGCTGGCAGCTGTTGTTCAGTACACGAGATCTGCCTAGAATCAACTGGATGATGTTCCTTAGAAACTTCCAAAGCTACATGGATATGATTTGAGCGTATGATTTCAGAGATTAAACCAAAGGACTGTTTTCCCCAAGTCCAGTTGTCCATGCTGAGGACAGGAAAAGCATGACTTTACATTCCCAGTAGATACAGCATGGCTGTAGCTCTGCCTCAAGTTTACTAGTAGCGGGAAAGAGCTCAAAACTCCTCTCCTATGCATGTCAATGAAGATTTTCTCCTCTCTGTCCTCAGGATGAAGCTTCTAGGTCAGGTATCTAGAACATGGAAAACAGATGGGCTGAACTCTTGTTCATATAAACTGCTCTCAGTGGAACATAACCCTTTATATGTCAACATCACGGTGGATTTCAGCATGGAGCCGAAGATCTCATAAGGGCAAACACCACACAGGTTATTGGAAACGGCAACAGATCGTGTTTGTGGTTGCTGTTGCAGCGGATGACTCTGGCACTCTGCTTGAAGGAGTACTTCAGTAGGAGAGAAGAAAGTTTTTCTTCACAGCATCTAATTGGTTGGTTGAGAATTTCCTTTTGCGAGGACTGGAGATAGGGACTGACAAATAGGTCCTAGCACTGCCAACGCTGCCATGACTTCAAAAGGAACAGGCCAGTCTTTTCTCATTAAAAGCACAAGAATTCTTCACCAACTACAAACTTGCTGAGAAAAGCTAATTTTTTCCAGCCTGAGGAAAAACTGCTTATGTGTGAGGGAAGGGCAATACTGGTAATAGGTGAGGAGATGTTAAAAATCTCTCAATAAATACGCTCCATTGAACTCAAAAGGCTTCTCTTGTCCTTCATGAGCTCAGCTCACCCTGCTGTGGGACTGCTGAAGTGTCTTGTGGCAAAATGGAAGTCTCGGTTCTGCAGCAGGCTGCAGGTTGTGTGTTATTCTGGAGAGATCTGGAAGGAAAGGCAGCGGCCAACTATATCAGGTGGAAAGAAATTGCTGTCCACATTTCTTAATGCTTTGGGCCACACTTAGCAGAGTGCAATTTGTATACGTACCCAGGCTGTTATTATATGTGATTCTTGTTTTAGAAGATTGGTAAAAGTCTATGGTTAACTATCTGTTCCAGTATGCTGCAGGATTTCTGCTAAAATCTTGATTAGAACACTTTCCTTTCCTTACTGCCCTTACACCTGCCTGTTGCATATGCATCCCTTGCAGGTAGGTGTGAAGCCAGGGTGGGGAGAGTTTCTTTTAGGACACAATATATTAAGAATTACAAGACAAAAAGCAACTTCTGCTTACTATAATATTGAAGAACGGTTCTCTAGCTGCTTGACACATTATTCCAACTGTAGAGAAGGCTGAAGCTTTAAATAAATTCTTAGGTGTTAATGGGATAGATGCAGCTTTTCAGTGAACAGGGAATTTTAGTATCTACAAGTAACAAGCAAAAATACCGTGTCATGCTTGCAAAATAACTGGACCTGGTAGGCAGTGCTATTTCATAGAGAAAGATAGATTACAGGAAGGGGAAGGTCTTGGAGAGACTGCATCAGTCTCGCAGTCAGGTAAGTACAAATG